TTTACAACATTTCGCAACCAAATTTTGCACTTTTACTAATTTCAGTATGTTCTTTTTAGCTGTGGTGTTTGATTCCCTTTTCTCTGCTTAGATTAAAATTTAGTCTAACATGCAAGTTGTCCATTGATTTTCTTATACCTTTTGTTATCCAAGGTTTTGAAAAGTCGGTTTGCTTTACGATTTGAAACGGGTTTTAAAGGTGCATGTTTATTAACTAATTTGTTTAGTTTATTATAAAAAGTACTAAATGACTGGTTTACAGTTTTGTCATCTGAAGCAACATTGCTCAGATCTAAATGGGAAAGTTCATTGAGAAAATTAGTTTCGGTAAAAGCAGAATAATCTCAAATTAAAGATTTCTGGTGTTTATTTGTTAAAATATTTTTGTTTGAACACATAATACAGAACTGAGAGTAATGGTCACTGATATCTGACACTATATTTCCAGAAATAATTTCATTTTCCATTTTGTTAACAAATATATTGTCAATAAGAGTGGCGGAATTATTATGAACACGAGTTGGTTTGTCAATAGTTGGGATCATATTATAAGTCTGTAGAGAGAATAGAAAATTTTGGACATTTTGGACAGGTTTCCAGATGTAGAAGATTGATATTGAAGTCTCCCATTATGTCTCCCATTATCATAGTTAATTTTCCATGGTTTCTTCCATGTAAGTTTGAAATCGTTCAGGTGAGTTGTGTTGCCTGTATGTTACTCCACATATTATGTTTGCATCTTGCATTTGAATTTCAATCCAGAGTGCCTGAAATGATTCATTAGAGCATTTTTCAATTATTGTATAATTTAGTTTATTATCTATATACATACCAACACCCCCGGTGGCTAATGGTGTCGGCACGAATTCAAAATGATAATTTGGCAACGATGGAATGAAATCAACAACCTCCGGCTTATTAATTCTGGTTTCAGTTATTCCTATTATGTTAAAATGATAATTTAGCTCTTCAAGTAAATGAGTTTGGAAATTTTCCAATTTCCTCTCATACTTTTACTTGCATGGATATTGCCGTGGATATTGATTTTTGCTCTGCTAAATTTCAAATGTTTTTTATAAGATTTGTATTTGTTATACATTGAACCAGCCTGCAAAACGGTGGTAATCTAACACAACATCAACAAGATTATTATCACTCTGAAAGCAACGTGTTTGGCAAATATGGCTAAAGTCAATGGGAAAAAAACTAAACCAACTTTGCGTGGTCGATCTTTGGTCGGAGCTCGACAAAAGAAACCTTGATAAATCAGGCCTAAAAGCAGCTCTGGTCGAACATTTAGAGCAATCACTGCTGGACGAAACAGTTAAATTAAGTGACTCTACTAATGTGCAAGACGAAGTTAGCGAAACTGATGTAAAATCGAAATCAAACAAGAATCAAACATGCAGTTGCGAGCTAATGGCGGCAGATCTAGAGGGTGTAAAGCTAGACATTGTCATACTGCAGCAGCAGATGAAAGCTTCGGCGTCGTATAACTTGAATACGATTAAAGATTTAAACTCCGAAGTAGAGATTACAAGACTACAACAAGAGCTGGCTGGAGAAAAGAAAGCATCAGAAAAACTAAAAACGAATATTGAATCGCTTGAAGACCGTGCCACAAAAGCCGAAGAAGAAAGGGATTCCCTTCGATTAGCTCTAACAATCATAATGCAAGACAAAACGACTAAAGTATCGGAGAATATAGATGACCAATCCCAAAATCCGTGGAGAAATGCTGAGTCGAAGTATCCAATCAAGCAAGACGAAAGCAAAAAACATGACGGACGATCAGCAAAACAAAGCGATGGAAACAAGCGTAATGGACAACGAGCGACTACCTCAAATCAATACGAGATACTACAAGTTGAGGACTTGTGTAACGAAGAAAGTCCCGAAGTGTCGAGCACAAAGCCAAAAGTACAACGTCCACGAGTTAACGTTGAAAAAAAGGGTGAACCAGACACGGCCCCGTGTGATGTGGCGATTTTAGGGGACTCTATGATCAAGCATGTCGACGCTTGGAAACTTCGACAAAGCACAAACAAGATCATTGTAAGAACTTTCTCTGGTGCCAAAACTGCTGACATGAAGCACTATATAAAGCCGACTCTTTCTCTGAATCCGAAGCATATAATAATTCACACTGGAACGAATGATTTGAAAACCAAGACACCGGCTGACATTGTTAGAGATATGGCAAGTCTGGGGAAATTGGCAAAACAACACAATTCAAAGATAGACGTCTCCCTTTCAGAGGTAATCGTTAGAAATGATAAAAGTAATTTGAACAACAAATCTAGAGAAGTGAATAAACTCATGAGCGCGATCTTTGCGAGCAAGAAAACTGGAGATTAATTGAAAACAATAACATTAATAATGCACATCTAAATTCATATGGCTTACACCTAAACAAACGAGGCTCAAGTGCATTAGCTAACAATTTTAAGATTCATATTGTAAATAACTGTTGACTACCGTGATCAAAATACAGATTAGGTAGCTCAATTTGTGATTCGGACTCGTGTCGCTTAGATGCATTTGAATCACAAAATGAACCATTAATGAATTATGAGCGGCTACCTGAACACAACATAACGATCCCTGAGGAATTACCTGACCCAAACTCCAGTCAGGATACGAATATCATAAAT